TAGGAAGTATCCAAATTGCCAAACCCCATCTTTCTGATTTTACCATCTGCCCAAGCCTCTATATAACTAAAGTTTATCACTCTTTGAACTACAAATGCTATTCCCCTCCATGTTTTCCTTTTCCTAAAATTGTTCTTATCCAAGTTCAGGGTCTCACTGAAATTTCTTTTTTAAATATTTATTTTATCTCTCTATTTATTAGGAGAGGTAAAGAAATGGTGGTACATCTACTTTGTGGAATACTACTCAGCCATTAAAAAGAATAAAATTCTACCATTTGCAACAAAATGGTCCCAACTAGAAACCATTATGCTCAGTAAATTAAGCCAAAACCAAAAGACAAATATTACACGTTCTCTCCAATATTAGGCAACCTGTATGCAAAATACAAGATCAACAGAAATACAGGTAAGCATATATATACATACATTTATCTAGAGGATCTGTATGATGGAGGCAAGTATACAATGAAATGAAGATATACTACAGTATGTATCTCTATTACTGAACAAAAGAATGATTCCCAATGAAATTGCTAAATATACCTTGACACTGGAATGCTGGTTTTTGTATCATTGTCTATACCAGCAATGTCAGGATATGCTTAAATAAGAGGAAGATGTATTTGGGACTGTTGCTGAGAGACTATACTATTGTAATAATATAGGGAAATCAGCAGGGGAGGCAGAACGGGAAATCCCTGAGTTTGCACTGTGAAAGTATGTAATCCTTTGAAACAAACAACACACTTTTTAAAAACACCACAGACAAAGAACAGGTAATCAATGCATATCAGAAAGCTTTTCAAACGTATTTTTTCCTTTCTACTACTGCAAAAAAAGTACTTTTCACAATCCAGGGAGGACTTTCTTCCTGGTTTACAATCCCACGAAGCACCTGACTCTATTATAGACGTCTATTGAATATGTATCATTAAAGTTCAAAACAGCCAAAGGACTATTCAGTAACATGCAATCTACTGTTACACTTAATAATGAACGGCATGAAAAATAAGACCCCGACTTTAATTTTAAATAAGGTGAGGTAACTATATTGCATTAGTGGTTTTGACAGAAAGGTTATAGTATCAATTTTTTTTGTATGTACGAACGGACTTCATTGGTTACCATGCGAAACGGAGGAGTGAATTACGACACCTCCTTCTGCTGGAGAGGTGTCCACACACTCCCTCACCGCCCTCCAAAAGCCAAACTATTTTTCTTTCTTTCATTATGATAGGTGAGTCATTTTTGAGTTGTACAATAGCAACAACTGTGCTTTATTTCCAAAATGCTACTAAGAAGTATTCTGAAGATAAAAAATGAAACCTTTCCCAAATATATTTACATATACAAAAGTATGTTTTGTAAATGTACTTTTTAAAAGTATATTTACTTTTATTTGGAAGACAGATTTACAGAGAGAGAAAGATCTTCTATCTACTGGTTCACTCAACAAATGACCACAACAGCCAGAACTGAGTTTTTTCTGAAGCCAGAAGCCAAGAACTTCATTTTGGGTCTCCCGCATGGGTACAGGATCCCAAGAACCTCAGCCATCCTCTGCTGTTTTTCTAGGCTTTAAGCAGGGAGCTGATTAGGAAGTAAAGCAGGACACAAACCAGTGCCCATATGGGATGCCAGTGCCACAGTCAGAGGATTGGCGTGTTATGCCATCATGCTGGGCCCCAAAACTATTTTTTTCATTAATTTAAAAGAAACAATTGAAAATATCCAATTTACTTTACACTTCAAAGGTCTGTATTTTATTTTTTAAATGTGATCTTTAAATAAAAACATAAATAAAATGAGAAAATTCATCTATTATCACGAAAGTGTTATGCTTTCCAAGATATCACTATTGCTAGTTCTAGTCAATATAAGTACCTAAGTGTTTTCAATCTGCAGACAGCAACTTTTCATCGAGAAGCAAATCATGTTGCTTACCCATGAATTAATTGTTAATGAAAACAAATAAAATGGTAGTGAATGAAGGAGTGAACAAGGAATTATATGTTTATGTAAAAGCCACTTTTTTAAAAAAAGATTTATTTTTATTGGAAAGGCGGATATACAGAGAGGAGAGACAGAGAGGAAGATCTTCTGTCCGATGATTCACTCCCCAAGTGAGCACAATGGCTGATGCTATGCCAGTCCGAAGCCAGGAGCCTCTTCCAGGCCTCCCACGTGGGTGCAGGGTCCCAAAGCTTTGAGCCGTCCTTGACTACTTTCCCAGGCCACAGGCAGGGAGCTGGATGGGAAGCGGGGCTGCCAGGATTAGAACCGGCGCCCATATGGGATCCCGGGCGTGCAAGGCGAGGACCTTAACAACTGTGCCACCACGCCGGGCCCTAAAAGCCACTTTTTATACTGAATCAAGAGATAAAACAGAGTCCCACTAAAAATGCTGAATGTCAGCATTATTTCTTCTTTCCAAGAAATAAAAATCCCATCATTCAGCTTACACAGATTTTCCTGCATTTTCTGTTTTGACTTTATTTCCCTTTTCTCACGTGGTCAAAATTCACTATAACTTTAACATCAATTTTTTTTTCTTCTGAACTACAGATTAGGTCGTAATACTTTTAGTGTTTTGGGAATCTTAATAGTCAGGATGGTCACGTAACTTATCTAATCCATAGCCCTTATAAGTGTAAAATAAAGACAGCAAAACCCTGCTGGGACAATAACGTGAAACCATTTTATACAGTCACTATATTAATAAACTTAATATGCTGTTTTTAATAATATCAGGATTTAAAAAGATATCATTTAATTAAGATATTAAACACAAAAAGTCAATAGTTAAGATAAAGGTCAAAGGCATTTAATATAAACTATACCATGAAAATTCTGATTTTTCACGAAAATTTTATGTTCTTAACAGACTGTATATAAAATTAATCAGGAAAAACCTGTTCAAGCATGTTAAACAATCTAAAGAGAAGAAAATCTGAAAACCAAGCCTCCTAATAATGCAGTCTTCACTAACTGGAATAAATTCGTGAAATAAGAAGTCTGCCTTGAATTTACAATATAGGACAAATGGAAGTTCACTACAGATCCATTAGAAAAAAGTAAACTGTTTCATAAGTTACCTGTATCAGAAGACATATGTGACTTGTTCAAACGGTTTATCTGAATGTCAGTTCTAGGCAAATTTTTTCTGTGAAATTTCCTATTTTGACTATTATCCCAAGTACAGCAATCACCCTTCACTGTCAATTCCAAAGCTTCCCTACTTTCTTCTTTATAAATCTTTTTACTAACACTTGGGAGGCTATATTTTAATTAATACTTGTGGCCAGAGAAGTTATTTTGATATACACAGTTCTTGCATCACAATCACCTTCTGTTCAAACAAAATAGAGTTTCTTAGGGCTTCTGATTCCTAGTTCTGTGTTCTTTGTAGCTGGCACCTCTCTTTTCTTGATTTTCCACTACAGGAAAGATCCACAGCTTTCCCATGCAGATCCTATAGATGGAAACATTTTTATACTTGGATGAGAAAGTGCATGCTTCTGCAAAGCAGCCTCAAATATTCATAAAATTCTCAACAAGGTCAGTGACCTTAAAAAAGATTGATAATTGTTACACAAGAAGTATCTGTGTCAACAGTAAATAAATACATTAGGAAACAGAAGGGTTTTTTTTTTTTTTTTTAAGAAAAGTGTTTAGGCTGGTTAGAGCAATATTTTATTAGAAAAAGGAATACCTCTTCTTTTCAACAGCTATTCATTTCTTCACCTAAGGCCAATGTCCCATTACAATTTAATCTGGGGGGAGAGGGGTATCTAAGCTTTTTCAAGACTGGATCATACCATTCAAAATTCACATGAATTGGGCCTGTGCTGTGATGTAACACGCTAAGCTGCTACTTGTACCACCAGTATCCCATACTGGCTGTAGAAGAGATTGGCACAAGTGCCTGTGCACATGTGGAAGACCTGGTTACAGCTATTTGGGAAGTGATCCAGCTGATGAAAGATCTCATGCTCCCTCTGTGTCCTTCTCCAACTCTGCTTTTCAAATAAATAAATCAAACAAATATGTACCAGAATGAAGGCTGCTTTGAAAGTAGAAACACAAACTTTAAACATCTTTATGGAGGTTCTGCTTCTATCCATTTTCCTTTTGCATTGTGATAGGTCTGATTACCAAAGGTTTTTTTAAACTCATCCAGAGACCATCACTAACACTTGTTGCTCCCATGATTTGGTGACTCTAAAAACCCAGGAACCCACCATTAATGGCCTTGTACTAGTGATAGTGATATGAAGGAAGCATATGGAATTTATACATATTCATTCCCTTTGAGAAACAAAACAAAATTAGCAAAACTAAACATATCTTCTGTGTAGCTCTATGGGTCAACATTTTGAAAATCAGGAGACAACGTTTCAGAACTCCCAAGAGAAGTGCACATCTTATGGTTTCTAGAGCACATACTGCATATCGAAACACCCCAGGACTCCTTCAGCTTCTCGCTTTCCTTCCCTTTGCCTTGCACTGCTAAAGACAAACTGTGTGTTTTTATTAACATCTCTGACATTTAACTTTTCACTAGTGGTATTTTAAAAAGCAATGCCGTCTTTTTTTCCTTTCTAGCCGAGCATATATGCCAATTATATTACCGGTCTCTCCGATAATGAAGTTTTCAGGAAAACATTGTTTAACAGTTATTCGAAACACTCTATTAATCCTACATTTTGAAGAATTTTCAGATGAAGTAAAACTTTTTAATGTACTAATAAAATCCAGAGTGGCAAAATCCTGGCTTATTGAATATTTGCATAATCTCTTTGTATAGTCAGAATGGATCATTTCCTTAAGTCCTCCAAAGTCTCAATTAGGCCTAACCATTTTTTGGGGTCCTTGTGCTTTCTGATTATTCTCTCATTTATTCAGTTTTCACCAAGATGATCCCACCTTAAATTAAGAATTTTCAGTTGCCTTTCTTCTAAAATACAAAATCTAAGAAAGGACCTCTAGATGAGGGTGAGAATATATAAATATATAACCCCACAGTAGGAGGACTAATCTTGTAAAAGAAAACCCACTATCTCCTTTTAATACAAAGGATCAAGTCATCCATAGTGAATTTTATGTCAAGTCAAAGAATAAAGAAGCAAAAGAATGACAGACACCAGTATCAACACACATGCTACTTTGGCATCAAGAACATTTTGAGTTCAAGTCATAGAACATGAGGAAGATCACAGAAGGCTGGGAAAATAGCAACTAGAAGAAAGCAGAAGCAGTGATCTAAAAAGACCAAGAGGAAAAAAAAAAGACTGGCAAGAGAATTCTGGGCAAAAGGATTTATGCAAATCTGCTTAGAAAAGAGTATTATTTCCAGATGCAAAAGAAATGGAACTTGCTGAAGCAGGGCAGCTTGAAAGACTACAAATGACAGAGCAAAGCATTTTCCAGGGTGTAAGAAGCATATTACATGAGTAAGCTAATAACATTTTCACAGATAAGCAGTATGAAGAGGTATCTGCAAGGCTGGGCTAACCAACCAAAAATAACACAGAAATGTGCATGTTAGCACTTAGGTGCCTATCAATTTCATTAGTCTTAAGTAAGACTTGGGGACATTAGAGAAGAACCTATTCAACTGTCAACATATCGCCATTGTGAGATTTGCTGCTTCAAAAGTTTGATGTAGATTAATGAAAACTCACTAGTTTCTTTAGTTATATTTGAAACTTTATTATAATTTCCTTTTTTTTAGTAAAGCATTTGCAAATCAGAAGTGTCTTTTTTTTTAAATCAAAGAGAGGTATCTTACTGAATTGAACAAAAAAAGTTTTAAATAGTGGAATTTAAAAATCAATAGGAGCTATGTAGACTCAGAAGTTCCACATCTCTTTTTGGGTTTTTCCCCTTAAATCTGTATGAGCCAATAAAAAAGAATAACTTGCTTTAAATTATATCTAATAGTTTACAAGTTGCTGAAATTTGAAGTGTATTCAGACTCAACTGCTGCTTACTAAAGAAAGGTATAACTATCATTTGAATTAACACCAATCTGGTGAGGAAAAAAATTGTATCAAGCAGACTTGCTGTGATATCTGTTCAAACATACCTGTACCAGTCAAAAGTCCAGCGCTCTTCTTTCGTGCATAAGCGCGTAAGTGGTTGGACAGGCTAACAGCACTTGTAAACGTCGTATTGCAATGCACACATGTTCTAAGCTTCACAGGCATACCTATCATTCAAAAGAAAACTATAATCCAGTTCTCACTTCAGAAAGTGAAATTTTTTTAGCTTTAAAGTGTGTAGAAATGTACCACAATAAAGATGGCTTAAAAAAACGTTCATTGAATTAGGTTAACTCAATAGAAGGAGGGGGAAATCAAGTTAACTATTAGTTGTTGTTAGTACATAGGGCCAACCCATGCTGTTTGGAAAGATGGAAGAAGGACGACTTGAACCTCACAGCTTCCTGGACTTAACAGCTATTATCACTTTCTTGCAGATTTCTGTGTTACGCAGATCATTTCTTAAACCTACTAAAATACAATCCTGTGATTTGAGTAGCACAGTTCTGTTGGAAGTTAAGCTTACAACACTACCAATAAAAAGAATTAAAAAGTCTAGTTGACAAAGTGGTAATTAAAGTGTTTTACCCACAAAACCGTAAAAGGCTTGATACTAAATTAGGCTTTCTGATGAAGGCTGGGAGAAAAGGTGGTAAAACACACCGCTGAACAGCTGTTAGACACAACATTTTATTCAGGGCACTTTATGTTCATTACTTTGAATGCGCAATCAATAATGAAAGTTAATGATTTAAAGTTTTTGCTAAAATCTTTGTGCTAAATAAATGATCAACAAGCTAACAGTTGAGTCAGTCATCACTGGGAAGAAAACAATAAGAAAAACTCATAACTTCTCCAACAACTCTCTCTCGTCAACATGCTTCCATTAGTTTCCTCCACATGACTGCAACAGCAACAAATGTACTTCCACAAATGTACTTCCTTCTCTCAAGTATACAGCATCTCAGGAAATACAGCTAATCTTCCAAGAGAAAGTTATTGACCTTGAAGGACTCTCTCCGTTCAAAAGAGCCCTACTAACTGTTAGATCATACAAGAGAAAAAAATTTCACATCATGTGCAGTACAAGGAACCTTGCCCTAAATCAAAACTGCATTACAAACTGCATTACACGTAGGATAGTCCATCATCTGCCCAAGGTAAACAAGTCAACAGTACCTCACATAATCTTGTTCATGACTAACCGAGTAGCCAAGTACCATTACTTCCAACACATTCAACCTAGGGTTCTGATTATGAGATCACCTAAGTGAACCTTCAACATTCTTAACCTCCAAAAACCAACCTAAAGACACTTAGAATTCTTCTACTGTAAAACAATAAATCAGACTTTGCAATACCAAATAAAAGCTTTGTATTATGTGCAGCTTCATTTCCCAACACACACAAAACATGCGTTTGTAAAAGAAAAGCTACTGGCGCAAAAGCATCAAGCTCAATTGTCTGTTTACCACCATAAAGTCTAAAAAGCCCAAACGAGTAGGTTTTATACTTCAGACAATCCTCCAAAACCAAACCATCCCACAATGAGGAAATGGGGAGGGAAAGTGTTCTGAGATAATCACCCTGTGCAACAAGACACCAATCCATTCAGTTTAAAGACTCTTTTTTCATGCAAGTGGTGGGAAAAAGCAATAGCTAAATCTTGAAAACATGTCACTTTGGAGCACTGGCAAATAAGGCAATATCTACCTCTTCACTATTATTATTATTTTTAAACACCAATAGCCTACCATCCATAACCATTCAACAGCCATAGCAAATTTTGTGTGTATGATTTTTTTTGCAGTTTTTTTCCCACTTACTCTCACCTTACACTGAGATCAAGAAACGAGGCACAGAGTTCAGTGCTGAGCATCAACTGATGAATTATATAGAAAGAGAATAACCAATCCATTCTGCAAAAGAGTAGCTTAAAAAGAGGATTCTGAGTATTTTGTACGAATATTCCATTAAAGAACATATAATTAAACTTGCCTAAATCATATACAAGATAGCCAAAAATGTACTCTTACCTGAGTGCATAGTCAAGTCCATTTTTTGTGGGTGATACATCAATGGACTATCTTCATTTAATGGAAGAACACATCTCTGAATAAATCTCTTTCTTGCTGTCTGATTATGGATCTTTTGAGGAGAAATACTAGAATTTCTTTCTTCTCCCATTCTTTTACTTTTAAGAAGTTCTATCAGTGTAAGAGACTGATTCTTTTTTCCACTGGGCAGTTCTGGTTTTGTTTCATCATATTCATTTAAGAAATTAAGCCCTTCTTCCTCTGATGCAGACACTGATAGAGCTTCAGTCTTTAGGCCATTATGGTACGCTTCAAGAGGTATAACATTTTGAGATAGAAAGTCATCACTTGAAGAAAGTTTCTGAGCCACAAATGGTCTAGGAATAATACGACGACTATTCAATGCCTTTAGGATTTTTTCATATTTTTCTTCATTTTGCATCATCTCATTCAGAACACAGATTGGAGATTTGTGAGCATCCCATTTGGTCTTTCCTAGTCTCTTCAAGTGGCCTCTAACATGATTTGATAATCCAATTTTAGTATCAAACCAACCACCACAGAGTTGACAGGTATGTTCAGAAGTAGTTTCAGACTTTTCTATTGCTAAAACAAAATTTTTAAGAGTGGATGAGAAATTTTTTGCAAGTTACCCATAATGAATTAACTCTGAAATACGAAATTATGTGATTCTAATAAAAACCAAATTCAAATAAAGCTTCCAATTTGAATACAGACGTATTAATTCAAAATTTCCACAAAACTTACCTTTTCTAACTCGCTTAACAGGTGTCCCTGTACTAGTTCTTTTGAAATGTTGCATTTTGTCACTTGTGGCTATTTGTTCTGGTGATACAACATGGCGGGCTTCATAGCTTAATCCTGCTCTGTGAAGATGACCCCGGACATGATTCGATAACCCTACACCTGTTTCAAATGTTGCTGGGCAGTAAGGGCATGATTTCTTCTCAAGAGACAAATCAGTCCAATGAAAAACAGAATTATGCTTTGATAATGAAGTTTCTGCATTTTCTAAATTCTGAGGTTCATGAATCTCATGTAAAAAGTTGTTAGTTGCACCATCTTCATAATATTCAAAATAAAACCCATCATTTTGATCATAACTAAGGGCAGTATTTTCTCCAGGCTCTTGATCTTCCACCTTGCTTTTGAATAGAGGGAATAAGTTTACATGATCTTGATTTATTTCATTATAGGTTTCATCTTCTATGGCCTGTGTAGTGTAATCACCTAACTCGACATTGTCCCAGGAGCTTTCATCTTCTGTTTCATAGCTATCTTTCTTTTCAGAATTAAGTTTTTGCAAAACAACAACAGTCATCTTGTGCAAAAAATCAGGATAGCTATCCAAATCTTCTCCTCCAACAGAACTTTCCTTCTTAGATTCTTTAAGTACTCTTTTTACAGCTACACGCCTATGCTCTCTGAAGCTTTCTGGCCTTTTGGCATCAGGGTTATGAGAGTCTGAAATAAAACTATTATTACGTGAATTACTTGATGATGAAAACATATGTAAAGAATTTAAAGAACCAGCCTCTTTTTTGAAATGTAGAGGATATGATTCACTTGATTTTTTGATCATCCTGTAGTTTTCATATTTATGTCTATACAAATAGTTATTACTTGCCTTGGCATTGGATTTTTCTTTTGCTGCCTGATGAAAATATTTGGGTTTTTGGTCAATGCTGCTTTTATTCATAACAGTCTTGTGAGGAGAGTTGTTTTGATTGCATGTATTTACACCTGACTGGGAAATGCTTTTCCGAGCTTTTTGTATTCTGTGTGGTCGCTTATGGAACTTTGAAAAATTACTTGATTGCGAGTTTGATCCAAATGTTCGCTTCACATCTTGTTTTAAAGCAGAGTTCTTTGGAAATGTGGCTGACTGTTGCTTTATTAATGGTTTACTGCCATCAACATCTATAGGCTCTTCAATGATGTCATTTTGTCTCTTATCAAGCCCAAGAGAACTACCAAATGAATCAACACATGATGATGAATGCAAATATTCCATATGTTTTTTTAAAACACTTCTGGCTGAAGTTGTAAAGGGACATGCCTTGCACATGTAGGAAGCTGACTTTTTGGATGATCCTATGGCTGAGTCTTTCATGAAAACCTTCTTTTGAGTTTTTCTTTGCGCTATATCAGAACTGACCACAGGACATTTTACCACTGCCCCGTGTGCAATGCCCCGATGACATTCCAGTTCATTTTCCGTCACTGCCATGAAGTTGCACTCTTCACAACAATAGTACCTTTTATCTTTTTCATGGGTTTTAGCATGTTGCACAAATGTTTTAGGGCAGTTGGTACCAAACACACACTGAGGACACTGTAATCGTGCACTGCGTCCTTCATCCTGAAGTTCTTTCAATTCACGAATTTCCTCCATCAACTTCTGTCTTCTTTCTTGATGAATAATCATATGCTTTAGAAGTGAATTACGATCTCGAAATGTCCGTCCACATTCTCTGCAAGCATATGGCCTTGGGACATTAAGATGGCGAAAGTGACTATTCCCATCCAAATGATACATCATGTGCCTGTGCAGGTGTTTTTTCTCCCTAAAATTCACATTGCACTTGGTACAGGGGTAAAATGATGGCTCTTCAGTACTGAAAGTAGCAGGTGACTCAGAATCACTCTCTTCACATTTCTTTTTTAAGGTATTTGAAAGGAAAGTGCTAGTATGAACAGGTGAACTGTCGTCTCTACACTTATCTGGGTTATAAACCAGATGTTGAAAAGCATCCACAGATTCCAAGTCTTCATCATTTGATTCAGGCTTCACTTTTGCTAAAGCAAATTTCTGTGAGTCTGCTGCTTGTAGCTCTTCATTCTGTTCTAGAAAGTCTACTTCCAACATTTTTGATTTATTAGGTACACAATTGGAATCACTTAAGCAATCCTCAGTATAACGCGTTATCTTACTTATATCCATTTTCCGCTTTCTCTTTTTTTCTAGACCTACTTTAGAGTGAACTGGATTTTTATCTACTGTTTCTTCATTACACATAAGAAACTGAATGAATTCTTTTTGGGGATCCCAGTTTGCATCATTTTCTGACCTAAATTCATCTGTACCTGAGGAAATTCCTGTCAATGTATTGACACAATCATCTTTTACCAACAAATCTTCACTATTTTCACCCACCTCTACTTGATTTACTAAAGTGCTATCTGACTTTATACCACTCCCCACTGAATTCTGAATGTCACAACCAACTGAAGCAGAGGTAGGTAGTTTTTTAATGGAATGAGTTGGATTCCTAGCATGTGCTACATCTGATAACAAAAATAAAACTTGGTGTTGACTTGCTTTCTGTGGTGTAGGCAGCTGAAGATCAGCTGCTACCTTCAAAGTTGAACAAGATTCTGTTGCAGGCTGATCCACAGGCTGTCCAGTGGTTAATGAAACACTGCCTTTATTCATACTGGAAGTCTTAGTTAAGGAGGAGTGTGAAACTGGTCCATTAACAGCAGCTCCTTTAGGCAAGACAAAGTTTTCACTAGAAACAGCAGGAGCACCAGCATGTATAAATAGAGTAGACTGGGCTCCACTTAAGGCTTTTTCAGATTTCTCCTTTGATAGTTCTTCAGGCGGAGTCAACGTATTGTTTTTTTGAAATGATGTCTGGCAATCTTTTGGTTTATGAACTCCACCTTCTTTCTCTGGGATAAAATTGCTGTCATCTAGGAGTTCTTCTTTAGCACCAGTAATATCGGTGTTTATCTTTGAATCATCCATATTGTTGGCAAGCCCATTTAACACATTTAGTCTAGAAAATGGAAAAAAAAATTAGATTTGAATGAAAGGTAGTATTAGAATATATGAAAAACTGAAAACATACATTTTTATTAGCTTAGTTTCCTTCTCTTTTGAGAACCTAAGAATTTTCCAAGAACTAGAACACTTAACAACTAAAATACTTTAAAAGACCTCAAAGGTTATTATTATTCTTCATCCTAGACAGCAACAATTCAATACTGCACATTTACAAAATCAATCTCTCTCTCTCTCTTTCACACACACACACACACACACACACACACACACACACAATCAATATGCTATGCAATGGGAAGAAATTTAAGACCTCTTAAATACAAATTGCTAACAAAATTTTTACACATAAGCAGATTTATCAGTCACGCTAGAGAATAACTTAAATTACAGAACAAGGCAGAGATATATAAATTTTGCCACTTAAAATTCATTATTATAGGAACATAACGAAATACCCCTCACTGAAGAACTTTATTTTAATGAATCAATGGCTTACAATGGTAAATTTTACTGCTAGGGAATTTAAGCCTGTTTTGTTGTTGAGAAACTTCATTGTAAAAGTACTTTATTCATGAGTTTTCATCCTCCTTATTCAACATATCTCTAATTTAAAATTAATGCAGTTAAAATAAAAACAAAATCAAAACTACATAGGTTTTATTTTTTATTGAGAAGGAAGATATACAGAAAGGAGGAGAGACAGAGGGAAAGATCTTCTGTCCACTTGTACATTCCCCAAGTGGCTACAATGGAAAAAGTTGAACTGATTCAAAGCCAGGAGTCAGCAGCTTCTTTCAGGTCTCTGAAGCAGGTACAGGCCCAAGGCTTTAGGCCATCCTCTACTACCTTCCCAGGCCACAAGCAGGGATCTGGAAGGGAAGTGGAACAGTTGGGATCTGAACCCGCACCCATAAGTGATCCCAGCAGATGCAAGGTGAGGATTTAGCCATTAGGCTATTGTGCCAAACCCAACTAAAGATGTCTTCGGCTACATTTTCACACCCTAAATCCTCAAACTGTGGGCATTCTCTAAAAGCAGATATATTCCAGTTATGATCTAGAAGAATAATGTTTGCAATCTTGTAAAAAAATGTACAATGAAGTATTTGTTTCACATAGGTAAGTCTTTTTGGGACATTTCTGATAAGTAATTTAGACACTATGTTTTAAAAATGGAGACTTCTAAATATTATGGGACAAAAGCATACCATCACTGTAATTACATCCTCCTATGAATATGAAGAGTTCCCTTATATGCTACTCCTCTCCTGCTTTAAGAAGTGATCACACTATGATGACACTTTTTGTATAGGGAGAATATTCCTATCAACTACCACACCAACAAAAAGGACTGAGTAAGTGTTGAGGGAACAGAAAGAAAATTTGCAACACCAAAGTAAAAGTTCTTAAGGCTCAAAAAGGAAACTTAGTTTTCTTCCTGTGAAACAAGTCCCACCACAGTTCTGACTTTATCCACCAACTGTAGGCAAGGCACTCAAAATATTGAATCCTTTTCATGTTCGATTTAACAATATCTGTTTTAGTAACCTGGAATTTCTAATAGAGAGTACTGGCACAAGCTTCTGTCTTTCTTCTTGCTCAGGGTAGTAAAGGCATTTTATTCAATCTCCAAATAATTACTGAGCATTTACTCTGTGGCAGGCTCCAATTTTCATAGTAGAGTTACAGCCTAATAAGACACATTAGGCTTCTGTTCACATGTTAATTTATTCTACATTTACACTATACAATGAATAATTCAATTTTAAGACAGCAGGAGCTTATAATCCAACATATTGAAATCAAAACATTTTCAATAATGTTTAATATTTCTACTATTCTTTGAGGTACCTAATTCAAGCTTTGCAAAACAGTAAACCTAGCTCAAGAATAAGAATGGTTTCCAATAACATGTCTTGTTTTATCACACATTACATCTACTTTTCTTATTTCTGCAGAATGTTTGAAACAAATATTATCAATAAAATATTATGAATAGTTTTCTTGGGCATTGCTATTGACACCAAAATCATTTTTCCACCCTTTGTAGGTTTTAGAATTTTGTGGTGAGACTGGCAAACTTCCACAGCAATAAAAATAGACTTCCAATAAGATCATATTCAATGATATCACCCCAAAATGGTGCTAATGCAGCACCCAGCAGGAGTCTCTGCATCACATACACAGAAGTTAAAAACGGGCAGCACATAAACATGTGTTAGGAAAGAGTGTGCAAATGTCAATGAGAAGCAAAGTAAGCCTTGATGGTTTACTATTATCCATTGCAGATATTTCTTATAGAATGAGAAAGAGAAGGCTTAATGCTCAGCAGCAACAACCACATGAATCTGAAATGAGCAACACTTTTTTAGAAACTCATCTGAAAGACTAGTTAATCTCTGTTCTTACTTAGTATAATCACAGAAGTAGACAAATGTATGCTCAGTCAATTTGAAAGCCTATATCAGATTTTCTCAACAGGAAGCAACGTTGCTAACGAAGTGGTAAATTCAGTGTTAATGAGTGGCTTCACTGTTACCACCTCAGAGGTAAAAACCTTCCATGTTCTACGTTCCACCCATCTGTTGTGGTGTTAGAGGTTCAGAGATGGAACAGACGCTTCCCATTTAAAGCAAGTTCATTGGTACCCCCTGAACAGCAGGGGACAAACTATGAGAATAACATGTCGGCTTGGAGACTGCATCCTCATTACCAGAAAGGCTTTACATGAACTTTCAGAAGCTCACACGCTCAAGATACCAAACTATTTCCTTCAAAAACACATAAAAAGAACCAGATGTATTGCATAACAAATATCTTATCTAAAAACGCATCTAGCTAAGGAAAACTCAGATAAAACACTTAAAATAGAAAATGATGACTTCAATAGTTTTCCCTGAAACCTGTAAAATGAAATATAGATTAGCTCCTTTGAATTAAAAATTTCTACACACAAAAAATGAGAAGTTATTCTTTTCCAGAGAAATGGACAACAGTAGTTAATACTAAAAAAAAAAAAAAAAAAAAAAAAAAAAACACAAAACCCACTATCAGAAAATACACTACAAGAAATTGACTATTTAATTTTCAGAATATACATTAAGCATAAAATACTGCAGATATTCTTTTTATACTCAACACTATGGCTGTTGCACTGACATACAATGCAGAACAACGGATCAACTAACTCTTTTAAACTGAACAACAGAACTAGAATTTTGACATCAAAAATTATTTTTATACATTTGTGGGAGTTTATGCAGCATCCAAAGAATCAGCATCTGAGTGGCAAGCTAATTTTACATTACCAAATAGTTTTCAACCCCTTTTAGACATTCATAACACAAAACAGCCACTAGTGGCAACTTATATTATTAGAACAAAGTAAGGACTTATTTAAAATAGGCATGATTCAGTAAGTTTTTAAAAACAGAATCTAATAAATTAAAACAAACAACAGAAGCTGGGTTAGTTGGACTTCCTAAACTTCAGTTCAAAGATTCTGCATTAGCAATTAGATCTTAGAAAACAATGTTTAGAAACCATTACTAAGTCCTCTCCAATAAAATCATGTAACCATAAAATTTTTAAAAATAATTTTTGCATGTTCTTTTAAAAAAATCACACTTCGTAAAAAAGCTGTAAATGGAATTTTAAATCTACATAAAACATATTTCAGTCTCTAGGAAATCATAATGAGTTCTACAGCTATAACTGCCTCTAGTTATACACTGTGAGCATTTAGAAAAAAAAAAGTACAAAGGTCAGATCTGTCTTCAAGATGACAGATCATCACTTATATGCCTCCAGCTAGACTTATTGTCTCAGAAATCTCAAACATCAGTATTTTTGCAAACTATCAGCACTTGCTATAACACCCTCACCACACTACATCTTGAGGTTACTACAGAAGAAATGAGGTGATAATTGCATATTAACATAATTATTCCATAATCCCTCTGAGCAAGCTTCCTAGGTCACTCAGTAATTCAGATTAGTTACAACCTTTCTGTCACCATATCTATGCTGTCCACTTTCTGTTCATAAATAATGCTTTTTTGATAGAAAAGTAGCTTAATTTCATTATTTTATGTACATTATTAATTGTATTTATTACCAGTAGGTTAACATTTCTTTGTACTGATTACATAATGCCAACCTTTGTCTCTTAGTGTAACTTTACATAAAAATGTAAGTACAATCTGTCCTTGTTCTACATTAATTCATTAACAACTATATTACACAGCTGTAAATAAATTATAATGTTGCCCACTAGCTGAGTTACATTTAAGATCTGTCAAGTTTTCACAAATCCTGTGTTCATTTAATAGCTTCAAAGAACACAAGACAACTTCAGTTAATAATATATGAGACTGGGTCAAGGAGAGAAAACCATTTACAACTGTCATTCTAATTAGAACCAAATTTTACCTAACTACATCCACATTACTATAGTATTTAAGACTATATATACTATATCATATATAACACACCTACATACATAAACCTTACCCAGTATACACTATATAATCTTAACATCTTACTTCAAAAATACAGAGCATTTATAAGAGTACTCAGGGATGAGACTGACTCAACTCTGTGCTACAAAATCAAATAAAGAGATATTTTGGTATGTGAAGCCTAACAATTACCCCATACAATTATCAACATTCAAACACCTGAAATTTGGTTTTTACAGGACAAAATACACAGTATGTTCAAACTATAAAGGCACAGATTTCATCAAGATTACAAAAAACCAAAACAAAAACAACCAAAAGCCAAAACAAACAAACAAAAACCCATGAAACCTAGAAACTGGTATCATTCAGCAGTACAAAGGGTTATCCATTATCTAAACTTAAGACAATCAAACTTCAAATATAACAAAGTCACCTTCCTTAAAACAAAGTGCATTAATATGTCTGTTTCTCACATCACTGTTGTAGAAGAAAAAATATGTACACTTGTGGTAACAAATCAAATCCAGAC